CTCCGGGCAAGATATTATCTCTACACCATCAACAACACCTCAGAAAACCATTACTCTTATTAGCACCAACCTTCAGCTTCCAAAAGGTAATCGCTAATATCGTTAATAAAATGTTATCCCTCTTAAGGTAATCACGCACATCTATCACACAGGTATCATGATGATGATGATGATGATCAACATTTTTCATCTTCATCATCATGATTAACTTTGTTTTCATTTTTACAATTAAGATATCAAAATGATTTAGGAGCAGCTGAGTAACAATCAGTAAACTAATAGTGATCAACATCAATTGAATTCATCATATTAACTATGTTTCAACCTCACGATTATTGTTATTATTATTTGCGCTCTTACTTAATTGTACAAACGGAAGTAATCATAATCATGATTAACATAATTATCTAATCATAATTAAATTTGATTCTTATGTTTTCACGTTGATCAAATTGTTTTTTTTTAAATCAACTTGAAAATTGTGTCTTTTTATTATTAACAATTTTTCTGGATTGAAAGTTTAATTTACTCATTTGATTGTGAAAAAGTAGCAATTGTAATTTAATTTGATTTAGTTATTGAGAGAGAGAGCAAATTTAATTTAATCATTTTCAAGGTTTAGGGGAAATTGATATTGATCAAGTCTTGTTTGAGAGTTAATTGTTTGACTGATTAACTTTTCATGTTAATCAGTCTGACTTTTATTGTTGCTAATCAAATCCAATGAATGTACAATTAATTGTTACTTTTTCATTTTGATTTGTTGTTTTAATTGTACTAAAAATTAACTGTTATTACCTGGATTACCTTGATTGTTGTTGTTGTTGTTGATTATCATCATCAAGTTAATCATTAACCTGCCTCTCGTAGGCGTGAGGTTTTATTTTTGTATTAAGTTAATCATAATTAATTGCTGATATTATTATTATAGTTTCTCCTGTCAAATTTGTTGATTAAATTGTGAATTAAAAATTTCGTGAGTTAATCGTTACCATTGAAACAATTTATTATCAGACAAGAAAATTAAATTATGATAATTTAACCAAAGAAAACAACAACAGTAACAATTAACTTTTCCCTATTCAAAAATCAGTATTGATCATAAATTGTAATTCATAATCAACAACAACAGTTAACTGATTACAAATTAACAGCAAATTGTAATCAGTTAATTGCGTTGATTAAGATATAATTATTACAATGATGGAAAATGTTATGAAAATAATAATTTTTCTCTACTTAATTGTGTAATTAATTTAATCATATTTGAAAGGCCTAGAAGGTAATACAAGCCCACCATCAGTTGATTGTTGATTCTTGGTGTTGATGATTAACTTAAATTGTTTTTTTATTCATTAACATTGGGACACATCCGTAATAATTTAATTGTTGTTAACAAAACAAAACCACTCCTGATTGTTGATTAAACAACTAAAATGATATAACATTAATTAAATCACTAATTTGTTAACTATTGTTTATAATAATTTAATGTCTTAATCAAAGTAAAACTAATTAATTGTATTTATCATGATCATGGGAAAACTGGATTTAAGTATAACAATTAATTGATTATAATGGAAAGTGAATTAATCATTGATCATGATAATCAATTTAAATTCAATAATCTGACTAATTGTAAAATCAAAAAAATAAGCAACAATTGTAATTGTGATTAAGTCAACAATTAGTTATCATTATGATCACCACTCCCGATGATTAATGAATATAATTTAATTTGAATTACAATTAACCGTTTACTTTTATTGTAATAATAATTAATTAGTGATTATATTGATTTTCGTTGATTGTCATGATAAATTGATTGTAAATTAGTTTTTAATTCTTGGAATGATTAAAGTATCACAACAATTTAATTGTTGTAATTAGTTTGACTTTCTGTATACACACAAGAGTAACAATTTAATTTCGTCATTTACTGTTAATCATTAATCATTAAGGTAAATTGTTGTGATAATAGTTAATTGTTGTCATTGATTAATTATAATTATCATTAAATGAGAAAGAGTAAAAAAATTAAACCTGTTTTCTTAATCATTGAGAGATTTAATTTCTTGAAAGTTTTTTTTAACAACAATCAAGGTAAATTGTTTAATGGTAATTTGATTGTAAGTATCTCATGTTAATCAATTTCATCAATTATCTTGTCAGTTAATTCAATTCATTTTTTATTAATTTTATTCATATCAAGTATTAGATATCAAACTAATAGAAAACAAAAGTAACTGATTAAAATTGCCAAAAGTTTAATAAACAACAACAATTAAGAAGTTGAATCTTTGATTGTCACTGATTAACATGATTGTTTATAATTAACAATATTGTTTAATGGTAATTTGATTGTAAGTATCTCATGTTAATCAATTTCATCAATTATCTTGTCAGTTAATTCAATTCACAAATTGATTTATTAATTGATTATTCATATCAAGTATTAGATATCAAACTAATAGAAAACAAAAGTAACTGATTAAAATTGCCAAAAGTTTAATAAACAACAACAATTAAGAAGTTGAATCTTTGATTGTCACTGATTAACATGATTGTTTATAATTAACAATATTGTAAATGATAATATTTTATGCTGACAATTGTGAATCAACATCTCTATGTGTGTGTGTGTGTTTATTAATAATATCATAACAATCAAAGTTAATTGTTGGCAGTAAATTTAATTGGATAAGACAATGAGTATTTGCTGTGTGTTGTACTGGGAAATGAAGCCAAAAGGTCAACATGTTATAACTGATGAAGATGAAAAAAAGATGAGGAAGATGAAGCAGAAAATTATACTAGAGATTTGAAAGAGAGAGAAAAGAAAGAGATGGTTGATTGGTTATAAGGATGACAAGGAAGATAAAGAAGATAAGAGAAAGATATTTTCATCTCTTTTTCTTATTTTTCATCTTCTTCTTAGATTTGATCTTTTTTTCAGATGGATAGTGATAGGAAAAGGATGAGGATGAGCAAAAGGAGGAGGAAGATGAAGATGGAGATGAGGAGGAGGAGGAGGAGGAGTGGATTAGGTCAGCAAAGTATCAACTCCAATGTTGAATGATGGAGATAAAGATGATGATGATGATGATGATGATAAAAATCAATGATAAGTCAAAATGTTTGTTACATGACAAAGTTACATAAATAATAATGGATACAAATAGTTTCAAATTCATTGTCTACATACCTTCATAATCTTCATCTTTATCTTCATCCTTTTTTTTTGCCAACCTCCATCATCATCATCATCATCCCCATATTTGATTCAATTGAATATCCAAGTTCCACCTCGGATGATGAAGATGAAGAAGATGATGAGAATGTTACTACTTCTCGTTAATAGAAACAGTTAACATGAGTTTCGAGTTCACTAGTAACCTTATAGACTTTACATGTTATCCTTATATAAATAACGAGGTATCTTCAATCTCTCTCTCTCTCTCTCTCTCTCTCTCTCTCTCTCATCTCTCTCTCTCTCTCATCTTCATCATTTTCGAACAGAAGAATAAAAAACACGAAAATTTTCACATTCTTCAGTTTTCTATTCATCCTCTTCTTCCTCCAACCAATTTCAATACATTAAATGAAGAAAAAGATGAGGAGAGAAAAGAAAAAATTTTCTTCTCCATCATTTCCATCCTCATCTTCATCCTATGTATCATTTATACACAATAACCAATGTATAAAAAAAAGTTCAGCAAGAAACCTCATCATTATCATCATCATCATCATGATACATAAAAGGATTCCTGATGAAATTTTTACTCTTCACTTTACTTATCATCATCATCATCATCATCATGGTCCAATAAATAAGCCGAATATTAGTTTGTCATGAACAATCATTTCAATTTATCCTCCATTGTAAACGATATTAGGATAAACATTTCCTGTTAAATGACCATGATAATTCAATGATGATGATGATAAGATGACCAGGAAGATGATGATGATAACTCAAATTATTAACCTTAAGATTAATTAGTATGATGATGATGATAATTCAAAAAGTTCTGACTCTAATTCAATCATTTAAAGGTAATAAAAGTGTTCAAATTTCAACGCCTTCATTTTTTTCATCTCATCATCATCATGATAATAATCAACGCCCATGATGATGATTATCATGATGATGATGAGATTGGGTAAGATGAAAAGATTTCAAGATGATTAAATTGATTAGATTGATAATTCATTGAGTTTTAATCATTTGATTAATTGTTGATTAACTTAAACTTTCCTCTTACCCTAAAAACTTTTCATTCATTAGATTCACTGAATTAAAGTTAATTTAAACACTTCAACAATTAACTTTTTTCTTTTCGATAAATGCAAATTTAAATTGTCACTTGTTTACTAATTATTGTGTTACCATTTAATTTTTACTATATTTCTGACCATTTATTTATCATTAATTAATTGTTGATTGTTGATAATGAGAGTGATTAATACTTTATTACCAATTATTACTAATTAATCATTAATGGTTTTAAATATTGAAATTTTATTCAATTATCAAGTTTATAATAAACGTTATAACTGTAAAAGTTAGTTAATTGCTGTTGATTGTTATTGATTAATATCCAATAATGTTGATGATTAAATTTTAATTGTTCAGTATTATAAGCAAGTGAATGAGGGGAAAAAATCGCAAAAAGTTAATTGGAATTAAATTTAAATTGTAAACGTAATTTGAATTATGATCAACAATTTATATTGATAACGAGAGAGTAAATTATTAATTGCTCAATAGAGAAAGAGAAAGAAAGAAAGAAAGAAAGAAAGAGAGAGAGAGAGAGAGAGATGATGATGATGATGATGATGATGTGATGGATTGGGTGGGGCCAAGGTAAGTTCTAAATTCGTGATTGGTTGGAAAAGTAGTTTTCTCAAGTTCGAGACTCCTCCTTTTCTCTTTCATTTTGGGTTTTTCTCTTTCTTTCTCTTACTTTTGTAGTATCTTTCATCTCTCTGAGAAAGACTCACTGACTCTCTCATCATCTTCAATCAACAATCACCTTTCATTTTACCGTCAGAATAATTTTATCCATTGAAATAACCAAAACTAAAGGGAAAAAAAAGCCTCCACAGTGTCAACACACTTATCACGTGTATTCACTTGTGTCCAGTTCTCATTTCCAAATGACCACTACCACCTCCTCCTCCTCCTCTTCCTCTTCCCCCTCTTCTTCCGTATCAACAGTGACACCACCGTTAAATGTTGTCACCCAAAAAACGACAAAAACACCATCAATAACAACGGGATCTCTTTTCACTAAAAGAAAACCATCTTTCTCATCTTCATCTTCATCCTCATCTCTCCAATCATTTGAGGATTTAAAAGATGACAAACCCGATGAAACATCTTACCAATCAATGGACGATGCCAAAGGTGACAACAGATCAACAACAGCAACCACAACCACCACCTCTGCGGCCAGTATAGTGACCATTTCACCAACCACCACAGTGACCAACACTAACATCATCAACATCACCAAGACAACAGTTACAACAACAATAATCAACTCCATCTCGGATGAAACGTCAACCTCATTACAGTCAATTGAGGATGTGAAAGGTAAAAGTTGTGGTCAGTTAATTGACCAGGATGATGAAGATGCAGATGATAAAGAATTGCCAATGAAAACTGAGCCAATTGATCAAGCAGATAATTTAGCTGATCAACAATTAACATCCAAAGGATTCAAATCATTCCTAATTGAAGATATTTTAAACTTTAATCCAAAGAAAGACAATTTATCAACATCATCATCACCACCACCACAACCATCATCAAATTCATCCTCATCCTCATCCTCCTCCTCATCTTCATCTTCATCAGCAATTCATGTGAATAACATAATTAATCAAATTAAATCAAACGCTATTAATGGTAATCATCATAATAGTGACATTTTATCAGTAATCCGAGGGATTGTGCGTCCATGGGATACAAGACCCGCTCCGAGTCAATCAACCTCCTCCACAACACCAACCTCACCCTCATCATCTCCCTCATCCACACCAACAGTAACAACAACAGCAAAAACAACAACAACAACCGCAACAGGGTCAAGTGTGGTCATTGTGGCAGCGGCCGCAGCCGCGGCTGCTGCAGCTTTCCGTTCCAATGGATTTTCAAATACACTACTAACATCAACTAATACTACTAATGGTTCCAGGGGTAATTCAAGCAATAATAATTATCATCATGCTCACCATCATTCACCAACACCAAACTCACCATCCAATCATCATCATCATCATATTAACCATCAACATCTTCACCATCTAACCAATCATATTAATCTTCATCATCATCATCATCATCACTCCCTTGATCTTGGAAAACACGGATTAACTAATATAAGACCTCGATCAGCGGATGATGATGATTCGCAATCGGAAAGATCGGAATCAAGTGATACAACGACCCGAGGACCAGATTCGCCGACACCCAACCACCACCCCAATTCCCTTCTTCAGAATTCACCCTTGGAGTGTTTATATGAACTTACCAATAAAGCTTTCGATCGTATCAATGGAGACAAATCATTAGGTGAGTTCGAAACTTTTGTCCAAACAATCAACTGATTGTCATTGAATCTCTCGCCTTATAACTAATCAATTTGATTCCATTTGAAATTCTGATTAAATTGTTTGTTCTTAAAGTTGGTTAATTTCTCAATTCTCATGATATTGTTTATTATCATTTAACGATCAATAAACTATTGATTATCGGTAAATTGGTTAAATGATTGAACAATTATTGAGTGATTATTATACAACTGATTAACTTGATTATCGAGTAATTGTTATGACAATCAATCAACAACATTTCAATATAATCACAACGATAGTAATTCATTTAATCATTATAACAAAAGTTTATTACTGAACAAAAAAAAATGAATTATCAACATTGATTAACAAATATTAATCACAATAAGAATAACAATTTATCAACAATTAAGGTAATTCCAAAAGTTAGGGAAAAAAAGTTTGTTAATTGTAATTGATTTTCTTTTAATCCAGTTAACTGACTAGCCATTTATGTACATTCAATTGTTGTTAAATCTAATTTTCTAGTTTAATGAACAACAATTAGAATCATTTTCATCATCAATTTTATATTATTATTAAATTGTTGATGATTCCAACCATGTTTAACATTGAATTAACTGTTAATCAAAATAATCAAGTTGATAATAATAAAAGTTAATAAAGGTTGGCGGAAAAATTCAATCTCCATTGAGATTAAATTGTTGATTCAATTAACAATTAACTGATTCTCATTGGACCAATTTGATTATTACATCTTCCTCATTCATCTTACCATTTAAATGATGATGATGATTAATAAATTACTTGTAAACTGGATTAACATTTAATCACAATTAAAGTTTTGTTGTCAGTTTACAATAAGATTGTGAAAACTTTTTCAATTGTTTTAAATTATTTTTCTTAATTGTTATGAATCATTATGATCATTTATTTATTCAACAATCAAGATTATCATTAAATGTAATCATAATCTTAATTGTGACAAAATACCTTTAAGGAGATTAGGATTGTTTCAGTTTCTCAACAATTAATGTTGAGGTTTACAGTTATATTAATTATTCATCCATTTCATTAATTGTCACTAATTGTCAACAATCAAAGTTGTAATTTAACAACAATAATGATGAGTTTAAATATGTTGACATTATTTAAACTAATCATCATTTAATTAACTTGATTGTCATGATCAGACTTGAAAATGTAAATTTGATTTCATGTTTTTTTTTTTTTCAAAACGTTGATCATTTAAATTGTGATTAACTTGATGTCTAATTATGAATGAATTACGTGCCAATTTAAATTGTCATCAATTATAAATTTACAATTAACTTTACCTTGGCTTTTATTTCAATCATGATGATAGTTAATTGTTGCCCTAAATGATGGTTTTAAGAAAATGAGACGAAAATTAATTTTAGAAAATTAATTCAATCCTGTAATTAAGTTAATTGTTTATGAGAGAGTTGAAATTTTTATATTACAAATGATGAAAACTGATTGACCGTTTTCATTGAGAAAATGATCAACAACCAATAAGATTAGAATCAAAATGTTTTAACCAATTAACGATTTGATGGTGAGTTTTAATCATCATCATGATGATGGAAAAAGTGATTAGGTTAAATTGTCATCATTCAGTTCTGCATCTTTTAATTATTATTTGTCTCATCATCATCTTAACACTTAAAACAAACTGATTTAACACTTGAGAAGATGATGAGGAAGATGATTGAGGATAACAACGAATAGGAAGCGAGAGAGAGAAGTTCAGAAGCTCGAAAAAAAGTTCTGAGGCGAAAACGAATCTTGTTTCCAGTTTGAAATTCATTCCAAAGATGAAGATTAGATGATGAGGATGAAAAAAGAAAGAGGAAGAGAAACATGATGATGATAAAGAGGAAGATGAAAGAGGAGGTTCCATGAGAATTTAATAAGTTACATGTTATTTTTAGTTCTTTTCCTTGTCAACGATTCCATTGATATAAATCTCGGATTTAAAGTGGGCTGAGATTATCCTGAGATAATAGTTTACAGTAAGATAGATAGATTATCCTATTTATCATCCTTCATCATCATTATCTTCATCTTCTTCTTTGTTATCGTCTAATGAATTCATTGTGAGCAAAATAATAACAACAACAACATCATGTTCATCATATTGGATTAATCTGATTCATGTCATGAAAAGTTGATCATGTTGCCAACTCTTTGCTTTTCATAGTCATTGGTTGATTTTCACAAGGATTTATCATCTTCATGATGATGATGATGATGATAAATGATGCTGATGATGATGATGATGAGATGTTAGTTTTTCTTTTGTTTATTTATCTTTGAAAAAACATTAAACAAATTCATATATTATTTATAACTCTAACATCTCAAATCTCATCTCTTCTTGTATCATTGTAACCACACCTTCATCATCAACTGAATTAACTAAATTAAGCTAAATTGTTACTGTTGTTGATTTAGTTACAATCAGTGATTCGTAGTGTGACAAAAGCTAATTAATTTAACTAATGTTTAACTTTCTTTGTTAATCATTTCCGTTTACAATTGTTGGTTCTCATTGTATTACAATTGTAATTTACGAAACCATTGCGATGACAACAATTTAATTTAATTGTCACTTTCTGGTTATACAGTTTTATTATTTGTCGTAACATTTATATAGACAATTAAATTAACTATATAAACCTAATTTGACGACACAATTAATTAATTGATTGATAACATTGCGAAAAACAAAAATCAATGTGGCAATTTAAACTTACTAATTGTATTAAACTAATTGTTAATTGTTCACTGTCAAGGTTATAGGATTAAACAATTGACCACTAAAATTAAATTACAATTAACCTTAAATTGAATCAACAGTAAAAAAAACAATATAAAAGGTGAACAATTAACTTTGGTAAACATGATAAAATTAACTTGATTGTAGTTGATACACTAAATTACAATTTAAATCTCATAATCAATTTTAATTCATCAATCATGATTTGAGATTTAATAATAAAAAAAAAATCAAACAAAATTAAAGTTGATTGTTCAACACACTTAAAGTGTTAACTAATTAATAATATTAATTGTAATTGAGAAAAGCAATTAAGTCTCACTAATCAGACTATGGTGTCTTAATCATGATCATGATAATCACAATTAAGGGTTTATTATAATATTAATTGTTTAGAAATAGAAATTTAAAAAAAAAAGTTTTAAGTAGTTAAAACTTGTCACGCAATTTTCACCATCAATTGATTGTTTTCAAGTTAATTGTTGATTAAACAATCAAACAGAAATGTTAATCAACCATAGCAAAAGTACAAACTAAATCAAGTTAATCACTAAATTTTTATTATCGTAATTAAATTGAGATGAAAAGGCGATTATTGACCTGATCTGATGTCTTAATCAATAATGGTCATAAATTTAATCTTTTTAATTGTGTTGTTAATGATTAGCCCTTGCGGGTTAAACAATTAACCTGTAAATTAACCGATTAACCAGTTTGATAATCATGTTTAACTACAACAATCAGGAACATTTAGAAATCATTTTTACTCACTCATCATGATTAGTGTTAACAATTAACTACTACCGATCAACATAATAACGGTATTAAATTAATTGTCTCCTCATGGACTTGATCAAAATTTTTGCTTTATAATTAACGCACAATTTTCATGTTAATTGTTTGATACCATGTTAAAGTATAACAACAATTAATACTTTTGACTAGATTGTTATTAAAAATTTCAACAATTCAATCTCAATTATATCCTAATAATGATTAATATTAAATTAATCATTTTTAATCATTTGTTCCTAAGGTAACATAATTAACATCGTCAATAATCATAAAATATTAATGATAATCAATAATAATAATCATCATTTCATTGAGAATTTCAAATTTTTTTGATTATTATTAATTTAATCAGATGATTATCAACTGAGAAAATCTATCAACTTGTAACAACCTTGTTGATTATTGTAATTATATTGATGACAATAAAATCATTCCTAATGTTGATTGTTGTCAATTGGAAACAATTAATATATCTATACATACAAGTTAATTATAAAAGAGATAAAATATTTAAGTTAATTGTTTCTGTATGATTAACATAAATCACATAGCAATTAGACCAATCTTATTATCTAACAATGAAAAATTATTATTATTATTAAATCATATCAATTAATAGTAATATTAATCATTAATTTTTCGTTATGCTGCTTTTTTTTGCGCAAGAAACTAAGTTAATTACTTGGTGTATATGCTGTCAATGATAATTAATGATTAAGTTGATATTAATTACGTTAGATAGATTAGTTAATTGAATGTAAATTGTCGTAATTAACCAATTGCAAAGTTGAAAAAAAAGAGACTCTATAAGTGTTTAAATGTATTTACAATTTACATTTAAACAAGTTAATAGTTTCTTGTATTTTGCAATGGGAATAGATTATAATTGTAAGTGTTAAATTAATGTTGTTATGTTGTCTCTTGTTTCAATGAATGATTAAAATGAACATTTATCATGAAATCAAGCCAAGTGAATCTCTGGTGTGTGTGTGTGAGTGTCTCTCAAGTATTCCTTGTACATGGAACCAAAGGTAATATTAGCGTGATCAATTGAATCTGAAAAAGAGAAGAGAATAAAAAAAAAGAGTTTTAGAAACAAGATGAGCATGTAATTTGACTCGTTGATTACAATTGATATACTTTTTGTTAACTAATGAGTTAGAGGGAAAATTGGGAGGAGAGAAAGAGAGATAAACTTGACTGTGTAACCTAGACAATTAAAATGGATACTTGAAGTAAAAGGTTATATATATAAGGTAGGTGGAGATGATAATGATGATGATGGAGGAGGAAGATGAAGATGAAGAGACAATAACAAAAAGTATGAACAACCTGAATAATCTTGAACTGTACATGATACCTTTAAATCTGTCAAAGAGAAAGAGAGAGAGAGAGAGGGTAAATCTTCTGGTTCTCTGGTTGTTACCTGGTTCACCAGTTATTATGACAATTAAAAGAGAGAGAGAATGAGTGAGATAACTAATAATAACTTCTCAATGAAAGGCAACAGGAATAGTAGAACTCCTATATTATATTACATCCTATATGTACCATAAGTTTTATGAGAGAGGAGGAGTAGGAGGAAAGAGGAGAGAGAGAGAGAGAAAGTTGTAGAAAGAGATGATGATAAAAAGACAGATATTCAGGTAACATGGAGAGAGAGATTGGGGCTTAGAGTAGAGGCGACAGTGACGAGTTTGCCCCTGGAGCTCACAGACAATCAGAGAAGAAATAGAATCAAATAACCGTGTGTAAGAGGGAAGAGAGAGAGAGAGAGAGAGAGAGAGAGATAAATGTAATAAATGATGGAAGATGAGAGGGAGTTTATAAGAGAAAAGAGAAAAATAATCCATCTTTTCTCCAATTAAAATCAATTTGGAAAATCAGCCAACCATGTTAGGGACACAGAGAATTAGCAAAGGTGAAAACCTTTGTTGCTCTCTCTCTCTCTACAAAACCATGAAAGAAGAAAAGAAAGAAAATATAAATTAAAAAAGAAAGAAAAGAAAGAGAAGATAATGAAAGAGTCAATTATCATCTTACATGTACAATTGAATGTAAACACCATTTGTTGTTGTCGCTTCTTCATCTATTCATTTTCTATTTCCGTCTTTTTATTGCTTCTTTTTTTCCTCTCTCTTCCTTAAGTCATCAAGTCCTATTTGCTTTTTGCCTTCTACTTGTTTGTCGCCATTTTCTTTCAATTTAAATTGTCGTTCATCTTCATTTGCACCTTGCTCATAATTATCTTCACAATTATCACCTTCCATTTTGATTTGGTTCCATTGGGGGGTCACTTTAAGCTCTCATTTATAAGGATTAACTTTTCCAAAGTAATTTGTCAATCTCTCTTTTTGTACCAATGGTTTCCTCCTTAATTGTTGGATGTTGATTAGTTGAATGATTTACCATGATGATGATGATGATTTTGTTGACAAATTTCCATTCAACATTTCAAATTTTTACTCATTAATTATGTTTTGTTTTGATAACCTTTTTCCTCTTTTGTTTTTTTCCTCACTTAATGATGAGAAGGGTAAACGATTGTTATTATCCACCATCTTGGTTTAGTTAATTTCTCTTTCACTTATATTTCTCTATCCTTTTGTCTTCTTCTCTCCAGTGAGTCTTTTAAATTGTATTCTTTCGGTAATCAACTGTAATTAACGTCACATTTATATAGTTAGTTCATAAATCACTTTTCTCTTTTGTGTCTCCTTTTCAAATCTCTGTTCATCTCCTTTTTGTTTCTTTTAGATTTCTCATTTTTCTTCTTCTTCTTCTTCTTCTTCTCCTGTTGATATCCTCGGGTATTTATCTCCTCCGCCTCCTCCATATTTCAGTTTCACCTTATCAACGAAATCATCAGTAGATTAATTTTTCTCATGATAATTATCACTAAATATATAACAAAATAAAAAACATGGAACGAGAAAGAGACAAAGAGAGAGAGAGAGAACAAAAAGCCACAGTTAAAAAATCAACGAGGCTAAGAAAGACAGAGAATCGATGAATATATTAATAAATACACTTACAATTAAGATGAGGTACTTAAATTAAAGTAAAAATAAAGGTGAGACTCAAATAACCAGAAAACATGATTACAATTAATTATCCAAGTGATTGTAATAAAAGATAACAAACAATTTGTTGTAATGACATAAATAAACATAAATCAAGTAACCTAATCCTGCTTCACCTCAGGCTACTAATTAAACAAACAGGGAGAAAGAGAGATAAAGCAATTAACAATTTAGTAAATTATTCAAATTAATAATTAGATTAAGAGGAGAAACTTAAGTCAATTGAATTAATCAATTTTACTTCAATTCAATTGAAACAAAAAGCTAAAGAGTTAAATTAATCGATCACATGTTCGATTGACCGATCGATAGTATCGAAAATTATGTAATCGAAAATATCGATTATCAATTATTCTGATTTTCAATTTTGAAAAAAAATTAATTTCATCTTTTTGTTGTCACTAATTAGAATTACATCTTAATCATTATCAGATTAATTGTTTTTGTTTTATTTCTATTAATTGATGTTCGTTTAATTGTAACGATTAACTGTCTCTCTCTCTGTTTATCTGAGTTTCTTTTATTTTGTTTGTTAAGCGTTTTCTTCACTTTTTGATGAATGATGTTTTCTTTTTGTGAATAAGCTTTTTTGAATTTCTTTTTCTCTTCAAGGTTTGATCAACCATTATTGTTACTATTATGATTATTAGTGTAATTATTATTATATCATCTTTCTCTCTTCATCAAGTATTCTCGTCATGGGCGTAAAAAAGAAAAGAAACCAAAGTAGAAATTAACAAGTATTTAGTTGTGTGTTTTTCTTGTGATATGTTTTACTCATTTGGAAGAGGGAACAGCGATGAACACACGAAATGTACAGGGAGGTGGCCATGTTGTTTTAAGAGTTTTCTCCATTTTAATATAATCAAGACACAATTAACCGGTTTCCATCCCTGGTAAAGGTTAAAGGATCTCACACATACAAATATAACAAGAGAAGATATAATTGAAAGGAGATGAAGTAAAAAAACTATTATACAATTAATTTGGTTTTCTCGATGATGATTATGATGATGGCGATTATAAGGCGATACAAAGTGAAACTTAAAGGCCGTAGGAGATGATATGATTTACTTTTTCCACGAGATTGATTGTTAAACGAAAACACCTCATCATCATCAGCAACATTATCTTAATAAGTTGCGAAAAGTTGTGAAAATAAGGCTGGTTGAATTATCCAAGAAGAAGAGTAATTAGCGAGATGGTAAAAGAAAACAAATTACAACAACAACAACAACAAGGTGAACTCTCAATGAAAAGGATGAAGATTAAAACGATAATGAAGATGATGGAATTGATGGAGAAGACAAATAACAATAAAAGGCGAATCATCTTTTGGAGTCAAAGTAAAGCCAAGGTGCCCTTTTTTACCCTTATTTCGCCTTTGGCGATTTACCTGAATTCATTTCTACAACATATTAATACCTTGATCCCCACAAAATTATACTAATAGAGTCTCATTAGTGTTCACAAGGTGGTTCTCTCTTACTCTCCCTATGTGATAAAATGCTACATGTAATCAGGCGGATGAGTCTCAATTTTCATGAGGATTCGTGAGGCAGATAAGTTAACATGATCATGGGGTCAGGTTCGCCTAATATTCATATCTCTATTAACGTTATTATTACTATTATCTTCCCTTTTTTCTCATCATCATCATCATCATCATCATCATTCTCATCTTCCTTTCCAGTGGCGTGCCTTCAAACTGTGAACACATTTAACCGAAAAACAAAATCACGCAAAAACCTCTCACTTCATCATCATCACCATCATCTTAATCATTACAACTATTAAGATGGATTATAATTTACTTGGTTTATCATCAATTTGATTAATTTAACAACAATTTAACTGATTAAGTTTATTACTCTCTAATCAATAATACAGATTAACACGAGAGTGAGAGATGAACCTGATTCATTTTGTTACATGTTAATCATTTAAAAAACCCTTTGATAAATATTATTCATATTTACCAGGTAAAAATTGTTTCATCGATAATCATAATTATCTTGATCATTTTATCCTATTAGTTAATCTGAACAAAAGTGAATCATCATCATCAACATGATAATATCCATTAATTATCGTAAATTCATTTTTCTTCAACTTAATCAACTTACAATTTATATTATTATTATTAATACTTGTAACTTGATTACTTATTAAGGGTTAACCTTTTTAACAATCAGTCAACATTAGGTGATTATGTGTAGGATGAATTACTAATTTATTATCATTTATCAACTAACAATTTAACATAAAAAGCAATTAACTTATTAATTATGAATAGATATTAGTGTAAATTACTAAATAACATTTATCCCAATATCTTTCCCATATAATTAGTGTAATCTTTTTACTCTATCATCAATGATGAAGATGAAGATAAAAAATAATCATCATCATCATCATTTAACTACATTGGATTTTGATTATATCATTAAGAAGATTGTAAAATCAATGGTATTTTAGTTTTACACACACGTTTCCATATCTTTTAAATGATTATATTAATTTACCTGTTTTGGCCTCAAAGAAATGCCGACGTTGATTGTAACTATTTTTTTTTTGCTATTACGAGATGTTGATATTCATTCATTTCTCACTCACTAGAGACTCATCATCATCTTTTCCCATTCATACTATTGTGTAACCGGTAATGTAATACTATAATCATCATTATCATCTTCAATCCATCTTTACGGATATAGTGTCTCATTCATAAAGATGATGATGATGATGATGCGAGAAAAAAAAACTGAAAGTGATGAGGATGTTGAAGATTTTACCTGGAAGAGGATAAAAAGACAACATTGATATCACGTCTTCTCTATGGATATTAAATGTTGGGACTTTTTCACTCCATATGATTACACATTCTCTGAATTCCATAATTTTCTGTGTGGTGGGTAATCACTGTAATCACAGTTTAGATTATCTCTCTTTTTCTCTCTCATCTTCATGGTGAAAGATGATGAGGATGGAGATGAGAAGAAATTGAAACTTTGATTAGTTTCATGTTGTTGTTTTCTTTGTTGATGTTTCCTTTTTTTTTCCAAGAAGAAGCTTTTGATTTTCTAATTCTAATTGATTTGATTCATTTCATTTAATCGCTCATTTTATCTTCTCAATTTAGATTTAATTCTTCTGTTAATCAAGGTGGTTACACAATTAATAATCTGTAACTTGATTAACCATCAACAATCAATTTCAAGTCTCATTCATTGATTATAACTATTGATTGATTTTCGCGAGTTGTTGCTATTACCTTTTTATTTTATTACAATTTGGTTACATTTAGATTGTTATTTTTGATTATCTTTTGATTGTCACGCTCTTGGATTGTTAATTGTTTGTTAATTGTTGAGATGATTATCATTCATATGATATACGCTTTCAATTTTTTTTTTCATTTTACTTGTTTCTTATTCCTAATTTATCATCAAAAGGTATCACTAATTGTTTCTTTACCACCCCAATCATCATAATCAAGATGATCATCAAACGTCAACTAATTTGATTGCTGTTGATTATTTATGTTGATATATTTAATTGTTTCCTCTCACTCTCACAATCAACTCATTTGTGGATAATGATGATGATGATGAGATTGCTACTTGATGATTCAAAGCTTCTGGTGGTTCCTAATGATAATAATAATTTTAATGATTTATAGATTAATCTAATTGAATACAAGGTTAAATTACATTGATTGGAAACTCACACTGATTGATATCACTGAGAGAGAGAGAGAGAGAAAAGGAGAGACCACACATTAGAAGAAAAATTTTTCTCTTCCACAATTAAACAGACAATCAACTGACATCAACAATCAACAAATTGAACACTTTACGTTCATTATTACATTTGATTCCCTTCAGGGCGTGTTAATTCATGATTCTTTCAAGGATCATCAGTCAACTAACCCTGAAAATTATTTCTCATCCTATTCCAAATCTCTATCATCATCATCATCATCATCTTCATCATCAATACAGTAATTACACTCCTCATTATCATTAGTATATTGTTGATCATCATGTTATACTTTGAATGATATTTTGAATGTTATTGTTAACTGATTTTAACGTTAATTCATCACCAAAGAATCAGTTTAATCATAACAATTGATATTTTCTAGATTATAACTTATTATCGTTGTTGAAAATTTAACCCTTAATCAAATTTGTTTTGTTAATCATTTGTTAATTATCTCATGTCTATAGGACATCAGGTATTTAATTGTAGTCTATTAATCATTGAACAATATTCCTGATTATCAAGCTGAGGTAATTTTATCTGTCACACAATCAACAAATCATTGGGATAAAGTTTCATATTTATTATTCATGATGATGAGAATGATGAAAAATGATGAGATAATGATGATAAGCTTAACTGGATCAATAGTTAAAGGCGCAGATGTAAATAGTTTTGATTATTAATCATCACAACAGAGTAAATGATTAAGTTAATTGTCTTCAGTAATCAAAGTGAAAATCACTTTGATAATAATAAATTGATTCCTGTCGCGTTCAACATCAATTCAACATTCATTTGTATCCACAGACTTTTAATTGTTTTTAAATCATCAACAGCATTTAAACAATTATCCTCATCTATTGATTAACTCATTTTGTTACAGATTAATTGTAATTAACTTGAAATTTAGTAGGAAAAAAAAACTTTAATTAAGAGGAGAGAGAGAAAAAAAATTCTTACCCTTTAATTGTAACGTTAATATCTTATTACATTCACTGAATTGAAATAACAACAACAAGATTACACCTTTTAATCAATTGAATTTACTTCATTGTAATTAATTAATTGATTAGAAACCTAAATTGTTAGGATGATGATGATGATGATACATAAAAAACCCTTGATGATGAAAAAGTAACACAATCTTTTAGTGTTAACTCAAGCTTAAGGTATTTAGATTGATGTTTAAATTGTTGGGCTTTAATTTGATGATGATGTTGATGATTTAGGTTAATTTGATGTAGTTAAATTAAAATACTTTGGCCAATAAGTGATAATAATAATGATAATAGTTAAAACCAGAAAATTGTAACAATCAAGTAAAAAAGTGTAAGAGACTAGTTGGTAATTAAATTAAACAATTACAATTGTAAATTACTATCAATTTATTTACTTGAAGATGATATTTAATTCAATGTAATTTGTTACATTGTTGTTTGGTGTTATTATTATTTAGCATCCTCATCATTTATCACCTTTCCTGTTATGTCAACATCCAATATGATATTTCATTGGGTGGGGCTTGATGATGATGATGATGATGAGTATGATGATAAAATGATATCTCTGTGGTATTATTATCATCATCTCAGTGAATCTGAACAATTCTGATTGCTGTCCAAATGAAACATGATAATAGTTTATATCTAGAAAGTTTATTTTTGTTTTCTCCCAACATTATCACTTAGATTGTTGATCCTTATATTTTATCACTTTTTGTTGTTCATCATGAAAAAAAAACATCATCATCATCATCATGATCATCATCACTTTCACTTAATCCTGTAGTTAACTTTAATTCCTATCAAATATTGTTCATCATCATCATTCAATTTACTTCCATCCAATTGGATGTTAACTTGAATGTCATGATGATGAAAATGAGCTTGAAAAATGTTCACCTACATCTTCACTCATCATCTTCACCTTATAGTATTTTCCTCTTTCTTTTTCTCTTTCTTTTCTTCTTTATCACCTCCTATAAAAGAGAGAGAAAGAGAGATTTTATCTTCCTCTTTCTTTATCATCCTGAACAATTTATTCTTGATCCTTGAAATCAACTCTTTTGTTATCCCTCACTCTCTCATTGGATCCTATTTCATGCCACTTTGGATTGATTTTTCTGGATGGAAAAAAACTTCATCCTTACATGATGATGATGAAGATGAAGATGAAGATGATGAGGATGAGGATGAGGATGCTAAGAGTGGTGATGATGAGCAATTTACGTGTTTATTCACGGTTATCCTCTTCCTCCCTTGTAAAAATTTCACCTTCATCAATGTTACTCAAATTGTTATTTCTTTGTTTTTTTTTTGCTATTTCAATTGAATGAAGCTCAAATATTTTACTCCTCATCATCATTATCATCCTCATCTTCATCATCATCACAAATTCCTGTTGACAAATAGACTTTGAACATTAATCCATAGTCAATTGGTTATCCTCCTTCTCCATCATCATCATCATCATCATCTCCTCCTCCTATTTATCATCAAACTTTCCCCTTCATCTTCATCATCATCAACTTTTCATACTTGATTCATTTGATTAGATTTGATTGTTATGATTATTATTGATGATGTTATTGCTATTAATGGTTTGATGTTATTGAAGCTTTTAATCACAATTAGTAGTGTAACCGGATTAGCAGATGAAAAAAGTCAATTGCTCAATTTTTGTTTGTTACCTCAATTGTTGTTGAACTTGATTATCCCCATTATTGTTAATCTGTTAACCATCATCACTTTTAATCATCAACAACAACAGCAAAAAACTTGATTCAATCAACTAAACACAAACATAGACAATATTGAATAACAATTGAAATCATTTTCATGCTTCCAAAACATTTAATTTGATCAATAATATGATTTACCATTGAGAATTGAAAGATACAAAAATCCTAGACAATTAACACAATGATTAACAATTAATTTGCTTTTTTTAACTTACCAATGTTAATCCAATTGAAAGCAACTAAATATCAACAATTAAATGTTATTGTTAAACTGTTACCAATGTAATTTAAACACCAACAGTGTAATTTAAATGCTGACTCTTGGGCTTTTAATTATCTTTCATTTGTCAACAAGCCGACTTATTATTTAAGTTTATCATCATCACCATGATGATGATGATCATCATCTTCATCATCTTGGTTACAACTTCCTCCATAAAACCATGAATTTAGTTAAAATTTACGGAAGTTGACAGATTCATGTTAAACTTTCACCCATCATCACCATTAACCATAACCATCCAGTTCATCCAGTTCATCCTGTTCATCCTCATCCTCATCATCATCATCATCTTAATCCAAAATCTTTATCCTTAATCCTGATCTTTATTTTTTTTCCTCTTCCCATAAAATTTAAAGTGTCATATGTTGATTTGTAATTACACACTTAACTATGGTTGTTAATTTTTACAAATGTAACACTTATTTTAAATTTGGTTGAGAAATTAACTTTCTAACAACAAACAATAAACAACAATTTAAATTTCAGTCGGATACTTTTATCATGGAAATGATGATGAAGTTAATTACAATTTATCCTCAAAATCTAATGACACTAATTGTTGTTATTAATCTTGGAAAAGATTTTCAAAGAGAGAAAAGTTTGTTTTTTCTTTCGTTTACAATTTAATTAATTGATGTTTTCTTTTTCTTATTGTTATTGTTGTTGTCCACTTTTAGATGGATCGAATGACCATTTGAATATATTTTCCAATCGTCCACCTCCCAAAAAGAAACGAAAATCTCGAACCGCTTTCACGAATACTCAAATCTACGAATTGGAGAAAATGTTTGTTTTCAAAAAATACCTTGCGCCACATGATCGGGATGAGCTTGCCACTCGTCTTGGCCTAACGGGGCCACAGGTCATCACCTGGTTCCAGAATCGTCGGGCCAAACAAAAGAGGGACATTGAGGAGAAACGTCAAGATACAGAGGCAACTAAAATTTACTCAATCCATTCACACCCCGATCTTTATGATAATATTCAAGATTTGTCAATGTTAAAAGCGCAAGAAAGTATTCGAGCTGCTCTTCATTTCCATAGTAAATGATTGATTCACTTAATCAATTCTCTCTCTCTCTATCTCATCTTCTAATCAACTTTGACAATTAACTATTAGTATTATCATGATTATTATTATTCTATCGATATTATTACTATTATTTCATTCTCAATGAGTGTGTGTATGTTTCTCTCTCTCTTTGTCGCTCCTTCTATCTCAGTGTATCTATTGATAAACTTTTCGAGTTTTCGAAACTTTTTTTTTCTTCTTTTCGTTCGTTTCTTCTGGTCATTTGCTCTCTTTCTCTTATTGGGTGAAAGCTTTAAATTGTCCATTCATCAAATGTTAATTGTTTTCATCTTTCTCTCTCTCTCTCTTTCTTTCTCTCTCCCTCATCATCTTTTTTAACAGTATTCGTTTGACCAACAACTGACCAGTGACTTCACTATTAAGAGGGACAATCAACTAATTCATTGAGTGAAAATTTCTCTCTTGATCTATCATCTCTCTCTCTCTCTCTCTCTCTCTCGATTGAAATAAAAATTTAATCAACTACAATTAAAATGTTTTTCTTTTTCTTCCTCAATGAAAAATCAAATGTTATCAAATTAACATTCACTCTGTTTATTGTATTTAATTATTGATCTAATTGATGACACAACAAAACCACATCAACCAAATCCTCACATACACTCAACTCATACACACGATGATACAATTTACATTATATTATTTATTGATTTCTGGTGTCCATCAATTAAACAATCAACTGAATAATTAAAAATAAAAAATAATTCAACAAAAATGACAAATTTCTCTCAATTTCTTTATTAATATTTAAACAAATTGTTCAACTTTAATCAAATAAAATTAGAACTGAACAGAGCGACATCTCTTATTCTCGATTCTTACTAACCTAATCGATTAGAGAAAAAAGTTCAATAGATCGATAGAGTTAATCGATCGAATCGATTAATCGCTTTAAATTCTTTTTTTGTTATTGTGAAAATTGTTAATCACTAAAGTTAATTGTTTATCTTTAATTGCAAGAGTTTCTGATTTTCTTGATTAACAAATTCTACTTATTAATATCAATTCTACAACTGGTGAAGTTTATCAAATCATTTTCTACTTGTTATCATCTTCTTTTTTTCGCATTCAGGGTAAGTCTTTTTCTTCAAATGCTTTTCTTTATCTTCTAATCTGTTTTCCTCTTTTCTTTGTAGACAAATTAAATTGGTTTTACTTTGAAGAGTCGATCATTTAATTGTTACTTGGTTTATATCATAATTTAACTGATAATCTTCACCATGGGTCGTAATAAAAAGGGTGGACCTCATTCTTCACGTGTACCTACAGTGGCACCAACACAAAGCAATGTATCTAAAGTAGTTAAATCTAGTAGACGGACGAGACAAAATTTATCCAAAAATCTATTGGCCATGAAGTTTATGCAAAGATTAAAACCAGACAATTCGGACATTTGTGATGAGAATAAAGATCTTACATCTACATTGGACACAAAGAGCGATGTTAAATATATTCTTGAAAATAGTTTCGAAATTATTGAGAATTTAAGATTTGGTCGTATCTCTTTTGGAGGGATAAACAAGGAATTGGAAAAACCAGAAGAATATATTATCGACAGTGATTAGAGAAAAATCTAATAATTTAACTTTTCCTTGTAAATAGAACATCAACTTTTTTTTTCTATTCTGTGATTTGTTTGACAATTGACATGAAAACAAACAAGACAATAAAGTTACCGAAAGGAAAACCGTAATTAACTTTGATACATTTTCGCAATTTTTGTCAATATTATTTCAACACTTGACCAACACATTATTATTTTCAACTTTTCTTTTCGTTTGATTATATTGATTCGCAACTGAATTGACAAAAGTTTGATTTAGTTTGACTATTTACATAGAAAATGAAGAAGGTGTGAATGGGGAAAAAAGAGATACAGAGAAAGGTAAAAGAACAAGATCAAAGACAAACGGAAAGATTTTTCTTTCAAGATATTTACATTAATCGATATTACGATTGTGCTTTTTTACTGTACAGGCAAATTTCGTTACTTCTTTTAGTATTTGTTTTCTTTTTGTTTTGTGAATGTGTCAATATCTTAAACATCATTATCCGATTCTCCTGATTCTGGTGGGTCTCCGGCGACTTTACAACAATGGTCAATTGCTTTTTCAAAAGCTTTTTTAACCGCTTTCCTCTCGGCGGGTTTTCTTGATTCTATCAGTTTAGCTTGATCCAGATTCGAGTCTACACCTAAAGGTTCCAACTTATTTCTTGGTAACCATTGCCTGAGAAAAAAAAGAACAAGACAAAAGTATTAATATAACTGTGTAAATGAAAAAGCAAACATCTTCAAGGTGTATAGAATGTAAGAAGTATGGAAAAAAAAATAATAAAAAGAATAAGAAAATACCATGTTCGTTTCGCATCAAAAAATAAAATTAAATATACAGGTCCAATATGTTGTGCTCGTAGTTCGAGTACATCATCAGGAGGAACAGGGATGGGAACTCCTTTATGGAGATATCCAGTCTTTGGCATATCTGGATTAACAATCTGTAGAGAAAAACGAACAAAAAAATTGTTAAAATGATAAAATGATAAAATAATAATAAAAAATTCACCGAATCAGGGAAAATATTAAAGTATAAGAAGCAAGCGGTAAGAGCAAAACATTGAGCTAGGAATCGATGGTAAAAAACAAAGGAAATTAAAGGTAAAAGCAGTAACAGTTATGAGAACAACATTTAGCAAAATTATTATCAGATTATAATAGTCAAGTAATTATAATACAAATGGAATAATTTAAGGAAGAATAAGATGAAAAGGAGAAAAGGAGAAAAGGGTAAACGAGTAACGATAGAAAAAAAAATTCGTACCAGGGCTGGATACCAAGGATATCCACGACACTTGGCCCAAACAAGGTCCAAGGGCTCTAACGGTATCAAGTTCTGACTATCATTTGAAATATCAGATCTCGATGAGCGAGAAGTTGGTCCTGTGAGACAATTAACACAAAACAACAAAGGGATTTGCATTAGTTTCTTTTGTTTTTAAAAGAATTTTAAACAAATGAATAAGGCAGAAAATAAAAACAATACAAAATGTATAACGAAAACGGTAAAAGAAAAAGTGAAGAAAAAAAGTTTAAACAATCAAACAACTGATTTAATTGCTTCATACTACGTACTTGGTGAATTTGTTGGTGTTTCTCGCGCCTCAGAACTTGCTTTGCTACCACATGAAGCTTGTAAGCTCGTTGTCCATGATTGTGATGATCCAGAATATTCAGTTGATGCTGTTGTTGCTGATGATCTTGAGCTTTCAGAATTAAAATCTGAATCACTGGCTGCATTTACTGGAGAGACAAGAAAATTTAACAATAAGAATAGTGTAAAAATAATAATTTCACTAATAAATAGGAAAATGATTGCAATATAATAGATAAAACCATCATCTTCAATCAAAGCCAACATTTAATCAGGCAAGTGAAGCAACAGAAATTTTCAGAATCATTTGAATGCTAAGATATTGATTAATCAAACTATGGTAACAAACTAGTAATAGGTAATTGTTACGGGGAAAAAAAGACTGATCAAAGATAAGTAATAATGAAAGTCCCTGAAAACCAATAAATTTGAGGATTATTATTATTGAGGAAAAAAAAGCAAATTAACATCAGATGATAATGATGAATTTTGTTTGGCGAAAAACAAATTAAATTGTAACGAAGGTTAACCGTTTCTATCAATTAGTATTTTCAGGTAACCATCAAATTTATAAAATGTCAAAGGTATTAACTTTTGACTCTTTGATCGGTGATGATAGTTAATCAAAAATCTATATTGAGCTAATTACTTACTTATGGATCGATAAACTTTGAAACTATCAGTCTGAGGGACAGAAGCTGCAGGGAAAGGAGGATTTTGAGGAGTTTCTAGTGTTGCATTACCAGGATGTGATGTTGTCGCTTGTTTTTTAGTTTGAGATCCTGAGTGTTTCTTGGCTGATCTTTTCCTTCCTGAATAAGGTGAGATTGGAAAGAGAAACGATTCATTAGAGATTATGAAATGATTTAATCAAGAGAAAAGATTAAAATTGATGGGAAAAGTGAAAAGTTTACCTGGTGTCCGATGTTTTATTTTATCACTTAATTCTTGCATTTCTTTGATATCATGATCATTAGATTCTGATGCTGTTTGATAAGATGACATTGATCCATTGTCGTCTTCGATTTTTGGTACGATCGGTTTTTTAAGAGTTACCCTGGCTTCCTGGAAAATACGTTCACTAGCATCTTTCAGCCTGACAGCAGCTTTATAATACAAAGTATCTTTACTGTTATATGACATGCAATTGTTGATCATTAAATCAAAATCGCTTTCAAATTCGGTGAGATTTCTATAAACATTTGACTCAATTTTGGATCTCATTGTTGAAAAGTCCATTGGATGGGAGATGAAATTAAGATAATCGAAAACTTCTTTAGTATCAACTGGCTCTGCAAATATTTTCTGTGTATCCTTTGCCTCTAATTGTGACAATACTTTTCTTAAATGGTGACTTAATGGTTGGAAACTTGTTTCAACAATTAATTGGTGAACTTTAATAAACTCAAGTTTCAATTTTTCTCGTTTTCTTATTAATTCAACCAAAAGTCGAGCTTTCTCTAAATCTTGACGAAGACGTTGTAGATATTTCAATTCATCTCTCATCTTGATCGCTTGTTCATCATTATTTAATTCACTTCCTTTACGTGCTCCTGCATAGGATATTTGAAGTCGACGAAGTAAAAGTACACCGTTTCTGGAATGTCGTTTTAATGTCCAATAACCAAGAAGTCGCTGGATAAATTGATTACGTTTAGGTATATTGATAAGTGAAGCTATTCGAGTTAATCTATCGGCTGGTATGGTCGGGATAGAGACAACAGGTAACACAGATCGTTTTTCGGCTAACATTTTACGAGCTTTACGCATCTTCTCCTTATAAAGTGCTTCATTTTGACATCTTTTAATAAAACTAGAACGAGAATCTTCATCCCCATAGACTCCACTTAAACTAACACCATTCTCATCTGTTGGTGTATGAGTTAAACAATAGGCCACTTTACGTACACTTGCAACGACTCCATTTGGTGTAACTTCTTTACTTGCTTCTAATTTCATGTAAAGTCCAGCCTGTTGAGCACAGGTTACATGAAATGCAACATAACAATTAGTCTTATGGCACTGGATACATGCACCAACCGATTTCTGTTTGCATATGGAACAGGTTAACTTCCACCGGGCAGTAGGAATATTTGTAATGCTATCGATGGGTTCAAGGAAAACGGTATTTGCAAAACAAACTTCAGGTATCCATAGAGCACAAACAACATGAGCCCAACGATTATCATCTGTCTGTTTAAAAGCTCCACCTTTATTTGGACATAAAACACAATCAACAGCTCGAGAGGGAGATTGAAGACACCGTCGACATAACCATTGACCTTCAGGTATATAAGGTACTCCGTAACATTCTTGGTGAACTGCTAAATTACACATATCACAAAAAAGGATAGCATTGGCATTTTGACATTCGCCATCACTGCATATACAACAAACGGCATCTTCATCAATGGCTGGACCCATTTCTTTACCACTATTTTGACTTGAAAAATAAGATTCTTTCTCTAAACGATCCATGAGTAGTTCAAATGTATCTGCAGGCACCTCATTTAAACCGTCAGATTTTCTCTTTGAATTAACTAATTCAAGCCAAGCACAATCTTCTTCATCCATATCATATTCAACCTCTTCATCTAATTCATCAGGAGATTTATCAATAAATCTAAAATATGAGGTGGGTCTTGGTGGTGCATCAGGTGGATTATAATCAGATAGAACACGAAAAGAGGGTTTTGGTAAAACTGGTCCATTTGTTAGAGGTGTTCGTGGTTCTACTGGAGTTTGTTGCTTATTTTTAGATGGTCGACCAAATTTAGCTTTACCTCGATTTTTACCTTTACCACCTTTCCCACCTTTTCCTCCTTTTCCACCTCTACCTGTTTTACCTCCTTTCGGTGTGTTTGTCTCTTCACTTTTCTCTTCTTTAATTTCTTCTTTAGTATCATTCATGGATCCATTTAAACCGAAACCATTTTTGGTATCAACTTGAATAATATCCAAAGGCTCATTGATATTAATTCGATGTACTCTTCCATCTATTTCAATTTCTACCATTCTTTGTGCTTCAGCATAAGTTAACGTTGAATTTTCAGGTCTTGTTCGTTGCATCATCTCCATGTTCAAAACATTTTCCGGTGAATCGGGTTTCTTATGTGTTTTCAGGTCATTTGTCGGTGTTGAAGCAACTGTTGGTACACGTGAAGAGTGAGGTTCACTTTTCCTAGTCGCAGTACGTCCCATGGTGAAGATGTAATGAAATGATTGTTACTTTTTCTCTTTTAAAACAAAACAAGAAGATGACAAGAAGCAAAAAGTTCAACAGTTCCAAAGTGAAGTTGAAAATTTTACTTTTCTAAAAGATGAATAAAGGTGATGGATAACAGAATAATATGAGGTCACTTTAAATATTATAACGATGCTTTTTGATGCAAGTGAAAAATAAAAAAAAAGCAAAAGTTTCTTCTTCTTATGTACAGATGAGTCTTTTGATGATTTAGAAAACAATCAACATCATCAACCAAAACGACCACCGGACTTAATGTGTTAATGTATCCTAATGGATAAGAAGGAGGCAAAAATAGAAATACAAATAGAAATAGAAAATTAAGAGAATATTATTAACAGAGAGAAAAGAAAATGGGTAAAAAAGAGATAATAATTGTTTCTACATCTTCTCTAAGGATGTTGGATCAAGAAGATGAGGTATAAAGGTAAAAAGGTAAAGAAAAAGAGAGAGAGAAAGAGGCAAAAGCTGATTAATACATGTGTTTAAAAAGGAGCTTCAATTGTGGGTTTGGGTTTAGAATAGAAAAAAAAATTGACAAATGATTTTAAAAGAGAAAAGGCCTTAACCGGGCGAAGAATAGAAATTGAAATAGAAAATGATTAACTAAACATAGAATATAAATAATTACCTTATTCCCACCGTGGAAGATGATATTTACAGTTAAACTGATAAATAACAAAACAGAAAGGGTTACAATTAAACATAATCAATTAATTAAATTAACAAACAATTTTCACAATAAACAACAAAAAATGATTGACATTTTTTTACGATCAATCGGAAAAATCGATCACATCAAAAATCAATCGAATATTTTTTTTCTTCTAAAATCGATTCGTTTAGTGTTATTCGCAAACAGTAGATGTCACTTTTGTCGCTGGTTCTTTTTTCAATCTTAATCAACATTGAGATAATTTATCATCAACAATCAAAGAGTAATTAACTGATTGTAATTTATAAAAGTTAATTATCTATCTACTCATCTATCTCCACTTGTCTGTGTTTTCTTTGAGAAGGTCATTTGAAAAATACTAAGATTATTTTGATTGTTTTCTCTTTTTTTTCGTCTTCTCTTTGGTTATTTTGCTTTTTGTTTTTCTATTCACTTTTTAATTGTTTTCTTTTTTTTTGTCTCTCGTGCTTTTTTTGTTAATTGTTTTTGTTGTTTTGCTGATTTCTGTTAATCATCATGGAGGAAATTCATGGAATTTATCAATCACCTTTATCCCAAAGATATGGAAGCTTGGAAATGCGAAAAAATTTCAGTGATGATAAGAAATTTTCGACTTGGCGATTGTTGTGGGTTAATTTGGCTAAAGCTCAACAAGCTTTGGGAATTAATATTAGTGATGAACAAATTAACGAAATGGAGGCAAATGCCGATAAAATTGACTTTGAATTTGTGGCTCAAGACGAAAAACGTACCCGTCATGATGTTATGGCTCATGTACATGAATTTGCTTCCCGTTGTGTTAAGGCTGCACCGATAATCCATTTAGGAGCAACAAGTTGTTTCGTTGGTGATAATACCGATTTAATCCAAATTAAGGATGGATTTAACATTTTGCTTCCTCGATTAGCTCGTTGTATTGATCGGTTAACCAAATTTGCTCGCAAATATCATGACTTACCAACCTTGGGGTACACACATTTCCAACCAGCGCAACTTGTCACCGTCGGTAAAAGAGCCTGTTTATGGATTAACGATCTTCTTATGGACTTGAAAAATTTCGAGCGAGTTCGCAATGAATTGAGATTTCGAGGTGCAAAGGAACCACTGAACTCAGGCTTCTTTCCTTCAATTGTTTAACAACGATGAAGAAAAGGTTAAAAAGTTGGATGATTTGGTTACTCGTTACTCTGGATTCGATTCAAGTTTAATTGTTTGTGGACAAACATATTCTCGTAAAGTTGATGTTGAGGTTTTGGGTGCAATCGCAGGCCTTGGATCGACAATTCATAAAATTTGTACCGATTTACGTTTATTGGCCCATATGAAAGAGATCGAGGAACCATTTGAAGAGACACAAATCGGCTCAAGTGCTATGCCTTATAAACGTAATCCAATGAGGTCGGAAAGATGTTGTTCATTAGCCCGACATCTCATGGGAATCATGTCTTCGGCATTAAACACTCATTCGGTACAATGGATGGAAAGGACACTCGATGACAGTGCAATTCGTCGGGTTATCATACCAGAAGCTTTTATCACTGCCGATGAAGTTTTAATCACTTTACAAAATGTTTGCGAAGGTTTCATTGTTTATCCCGCTGTAATTGAAAGAAACATTAACCAAGAATTACCATTTATGGCCACCGAAAATGTGATCCTTGCGATGGTTAAAAAAGGTGCCAATCGACAAGAGTGCCATGAAATGATTCGACAATTGTCCCATGAAGCCGCTCTTCAAGTTAAACAATTTGGTAAAAACAATGACCTTTTGGATCGAATTGAAAAGCACCGATACTTTGAACCAATCAAAGATGAATTGAGACAATTAACTGATGCTAAATCGTTTGTTGGTCGAGCACCAAGACAAGTGGTTGAATTTATCAGAGCTGAAGTAGAACCAGCAATTCACCCTTATCGTAATCTGATGAGTGTAAAAGCGAGTGTTACTAAATAGATTGTGCGATTAGATTGATGATTATCACTGCAATAATCAATTCAACAATCTATTGAATAAACATGACAACAAACTGGCAATCATTATCAATATATATATGAGTTCTAATTGTAATTTTATAATTGGATTAACGATTAGTTTATATAAAAAAATGAAAATCTATTGAAATTTACAAGAATTTTGTTTTGTAACTAACTAATTTAACAACATGATTAATTACATCCGGAAATAATAGTCAATTAATGTTGAGAATGCAGCGAATCCGGTAGCACCCCAAAGTCCAGCTCTTGGTCCAGCTCGAAGACCGATAACACCTCCAACTATTCCCCCAGCGATTGTACCATTTGTCCAATGGCTTTTACCACGATACGATTCGAGTGTACATTCCGTACATGCGAACATGGCTCCAAGAATAGCGAAACTTTTGGCATTAGATAACATTCTACCTTTCATATCTTGTAGAACCATTTTAACAGTTTGTTTCTCTGGTTCAGCCATCGTTGCCTGTGGACCAACGGAGGCCAAAAAAAGACCCATAACAGCACCGAATCCATAACCGGCAACCCCGCTCATGACAGTTCGAAAGGCACAACTTTCCATCGCCTTCTCAACAATAACTTCCTCCTGCTAACAGCTCCTCTTCCCAACATAAATGGAACAATTGCCTTATTATAATTCCATTTGTCGGGACTGTACATTTTAGTCAATTCCTAGAATAGAATTTGAGTAAACAAGATGAGCGGACAACAAAAAAAAAAACGAAAACAAAATTTATATTAAAACAAAACAATCAACACAATTGGAGATGAAAAAAAATGAGAGATTACAAAAGATGGAAAAATCTAAAGCCGATCAACTTACGGTAAAAGGATCACTTGATTGACTAGATAAACCTTCAGAATCATTGGTTGAACTGTTCATTGTAACATTAATTAAAAGAGCAAATTGATTAATACAATTAAAAAATTAAGAGGAAATCATTTGTTTTGATTTGGAAACAAAAAATGTGGCTAAGACTCAAATGTCAGCTCAACATTTTCACTTTGAGCTGATTTTTTTTCGGCTTAAAGTTCAAGCTACATATGAAAATGGACTTAATTGTTCAGTTAATTGTGTTTGTTTAAATTTGGTTAGGTTAGATCTTCACTAGTAAGGGTCATCATGGCCGCAGAAAGGCCCGGAGGCCTAATAAAATCAAACCGAACCTTAAGCCGAAAAAAGAATTAGCTGAAAATGGAAAATGTTGAGCTGACATAATCTTTAGTCTTATCCAAATTTGAATTGTTTACAGTTAAAGGTTTCGAGTTGTAATAAGAAATAATAATCGATTGGTATTTAATTTTCTTTACTTTTTAGTATTAAAGGAACAAATCAAATATGGACAATCGGAAGCCAATGAGAATTTGTAACTTGTGTTTCTATCATGAGGATAAATCATCTCGCAATTTTTCTCGACATGCAACCAAAATTCATGGTGGAATCACAGATTATAGGATAGAGTATTTAGATGAGGATGAATTACAAGAATTGCGAGCAAAATGGGCTCTTTTCAAGATAAATCGTTACAGAAATGTGGTAGGTATGACATTTTCTATTCTTTTCATTAAATTCTCCTCTTTTGTTTTATTCTTTCCATACTAAATTGGTTCTTCCTTTTTGTTTCTCTCAATCTCTCTATTCTAGTCACCGATTAACTCCTCATCAACAACTACACCATCTACTTCATCCTCATCTTCATCATCGGCATCAATTTCCATTTCACCATCTACATCAGCATCTATATTATCCCAACATTCGCGACAACAATCACGTCAACATTCACGCCAATCACAACATCAACAACACAATCACCAAGACCACATTCATCATCAATTACTATTACAACAGCAACAACACCAAAACCAAAACCAACAACAATCACAGCAACAGCAACAACAACTGATACTACAACCTTCATCAATTCATCATGTAGACCCTAAATCATACAGGTATCAACAACAAACCATTGACAATTTATCACCTCACCAACTACATCGGGCATTGAAAAAGCAAAATGCAAAATATAATGTTGTCAACCTACTATTCAATTCAAGGGAAACAAATGAAGCATTTTTCTCACAACTAATCAACTCCTGAATTGAACCAATTCAATCAAAAAAAAGCCCACCAACACACATGATGAGTTTAAAAATACTAAGACAATGTTTTTTGTACAATAATAATAATAATAAAATCCAATAATATTAAAGGAAAAAGATATGAATCAACATCAAATGATAACAGTCACATCCTTGTAATGATTGCAGATGAAAACAATCAAATAACACTAATGAATCATTAGTAATGATTAAAACGATGAAGATGAAGATGATAAAGATACGCTTTTACTACACATGGTCAAGTAAATTTACAATTTATTAATTGTTTAATTTAGTGTTTTATTATTATTGAACAATGGAAGTGATTACCAATAAGATTGAGAATCTTTTCTCAGGAGGTTATCATGAACCTCGAGTATCTGATTACTTTTTAATCAATCATCCAAAATGGCACATTGCTACTTTCTTGTCAATCTATTTGTTAATTGCTGCTAAATTAGGTTCGATTTTAGGTTCAACGGGAAAGTCATACAATTTACGACCTTGGATGTTGGTCTTAAATGGACTTAACTTTGGTGTTTACGGTATTGCGATACCAATTATCGGATGGTTGACAAATTTTGGTGTCACTTGTTGGGCTTGTACCGAGCCCAAAGACGGTGCTTTCATTGAGGAAACTTTATTACGTCTTAGTTACACTTACCTGTGGATGAAAATGGCCGATATGATGTCCACTCTTGTCATGATTTTAAGAGCTAAACCAGGCCAAAAGCCGATCCTTCATGCCCTGAGAAACTCTTGTCTCATTTTAGTTGTTTACTTTGGCCTTCGCATGTACGCTAGAGGCTCATTCCTATTTCTACCCTTTACCGATGACATTTTATCGATATTATAGTCGACTTTGAGTCGAGCAAAATGAAGTTGAATTTAGAGTCATATCGTCCAGTCAAGTGTACCAACTGATAGATTTTCTGATTTTGACTTTAGAATAAAAAGTTTCAGTTAGCCCCAAAGAAAACTGAAAATGCAGTTTTCAAAGAGAAATGTTTGTACGAGCCTCGTACTACGAGACTTATGCAAAACTTTTTTTCTGTTTGGATTCAATTAATTGCTGCAATTTAGATGACAAGTGAATCGATGAAGCATCGACTTCGATTTAGTTGATGAGTCGACTTAGAGCCGAGTGAGTCGAAAAAACTTACGAGTCAGTCGTCAGTGTTTCGACTCGCTTGTGTATCTAAAAAAATATCCGATATTCTTGTACCCGATATTTGGATCTTCGTTTGTAAACATTGAGAATTGAATTGTAAACATTTCCATTTTTAAATGTCAATTTAAATTGTTGTTAATTTGATTGTTTTTGGTTAAATTGCAAGTTAGATTAATTGTTTCTTAATTGTGATTCAGTTTTCAGCCCAATGGAGGAAAGAAAACGTTCAAAAGGAAGTGGAACAAGTGGTAAATCAGGTGATAAAATGGATTCCATTTCTGATGAAGTTCGTCAAGATATTAAAGAAGCTTTTAAATTGTTTGATCGTGATAATAAAGGAACCATCGAGATAATCAATTTGAAATTAGCCATGAGAGCTCTTGGATTTGAGCCAAAAAAGGAAGAGATTAAAAAGATCACTGCTGAATTCGTTAAAGAAGGCAAAGGATTGGTTGGTTATGATGATTTCTATAATTTGATGACTCGAAAAATGATGGAGAAAGACATTAATGATGAGATAATTAAAGCCTTCCAATTGTTTGATTTAACCGATTCTGGTAAAATACGATTCGAAGATCTGAAAAAGGTCTCCCAGGAATTGGGTGAAAATATAAGTGATGATGAGCTTCGAGAAATGATTCTTGAAGCAGATCGAGATGAAAATGGTTATGTTGACAAGGAAGAGTTTCTCAGAATCATGAAGAAAACTTGTCTCTATTAATTGACAATCAATTAATTAACATCTCTCTCTATGAATATATTTATCTGCTTCTACTTAATATTGACTCAATCAATCAATATATTTTTAATTGTTCCATCGCTTTTGTCTCAATCGTCGATTTTTATGTTCAACAACAATTATTGTTAAACGTTGAAAAGCTTAACCATATTGACCAAAGAAAATTGGATATTTAATTGTATCACCTTTGTTTCCAATTTAATTTCCATGTTTAACTTGATTCTCATGTAATCTCTTGTGTGTTCATAACCTTTAATTGCCAAATGATTGTATCCATTTGATATTCTTGTTAAAATCCATTATATATATAAAATAAATAAGTTTGCATTTGATGTATTGTAATAATATTTCAATTGACGATGATAATTGATTGAGATAATAACAATTAAAACTCAATCAAAAAAAAAAGGAAAAAACAATATAAAGAGTTAATTATAATTATGTGAGTTTTGATTTTGTAATGGAAACAAAAAGAAAACAAATAATCAAATAATAATAATAGTAATAATCGCAAGAGATTATATAATTGTTAGGGATGATTAGAAAGGCATTTTAAGGTGAGAAACCGAGAGGGAATAATGAAAATTAATCGGCAACGGGAAAGTTTAAATTTCTCCGAAATTGATGTGACCAGTTTCCATGGCGTGTTGTCGAGCACCGATTTGCCCTTGAAGACCAGTATTACAAGTTAAACATTTGAGAGTAAAATTTTGAACATCGGTAAATTGTCGACTAGCTTTGGCCTCACTGGCCAATTCTAATGCCATAGAAAGTATAAAATCATCGGTAATCGGGAAAATTGTGACCATTCGGTTAACACGATCAACAGGTTCGAACATTAATGGATCATAATGAATTCCATCGTAAATAATCAAAATTCTATTTGAATAATCTCTGTCTTCACCGAAACGATTTAGTCTAGTATTTTGTGTATCAACAACAACAATCTCAATAGAATAATGATTTGAGAGAATAGAAATTTCAATAGCACCACCCCAATGGTTATCATTTAAAATCCATTTGACATAATCCGAATTTGATTTACCTAGAAAAGCTTCATTATAGAATATTGGATCACCGGCAACCGTATTAGCGATTATCTTTCTCAATGAGGTTCCAGAACTTTCCTCGTATCGACCATTGGTTAAGCAGAAATTGATACTTGTAAAGAGACACGAATTGTTTGCAGGTACAACTCTTCGCAATAAGACACCTTTAGATGATTCAGATTTGTTAATTGATTCTTTCGGTTTAATGGAGCAAGTTGATGATTTAAATGAAGTTGAGGGTTGAGGTGATGATCTTAAGGTGGACGGTGGTGGCATCGTTACGGAAGAGGAAGAGGAAGAAGAAGAAGAAGATAAATGTTCACTTATATTTATCTCTTCAATTATTATAATCTCTTTGGGTGAAGATAGAACATCAAGTATTTTAGAAGAATTATTTTCTAAATTAACTGTAACTGGAGGGTAACCACGACGAATTCTCAATCTTTCCGGTGAAATTTTGGTTAATTGTAATACGGCTTCTTTTAGGTCTCCTATTGTACTTTCTTCAGTCAGGTAATTTAAACTAACGATTCCAGTCTTAGTTTTACAGCGAATTGGTAATATTTTAGCATCCATGTTTAAGTAGAAAAGAAGAAGAAAAAAATTGTAATTACAAATTTAAATACCAATAAGTCAAAAGTGATTAAGAAAAAACAAAATGTTGACAACAAAAAATATGATCGCTTTTTAGATTTTGCTCTTAGTTTAGACACTTTGGGCTATTTTCACGAAAGTTTCTCGAATAATAGTCAACCCAAAATTTGAATCAAATTAAATTAAATGAATGAGTTTGTTGATTAATTGATTAATTTTATTTTTAATTGTTCGTGTTATTGATTTGATTGTTTGGAGAATTTTCTAGTTTAGATTTAAATTCTTGGGTGTTTGCTTGGTTCTCGCTGTTTCTTCAACCATCTCTGTTACCTTTTCTCGGCTTACAGAAGATCTTAATTGTTGTGATATCTTTTTAACTCTTTCATGTAAATCAATATCTTCCAATAGATTGTCAACCATTTTATGGATATCATTCTCATCATATCGAAATGGTTCAACTCGATAGCCAAGCTTTAAATCATCTATACGCTGAGCATTATCCAGTTGATCAAAAAACAGCGGCATCACAATCATTGGTTTACCAAAATAAAGAGTCTCAACAATTGTATTGTTACCTCCGTGAGTAATTACCAAATCAACTTTTGGTAAAATGGCAATTTGATTGACATAATTATCACCCCACATATTTTCAGATAAAGTCAATTGGTCACCTCGAGGTCCTTTTGATACAATGAAACGATGTTTACTCTTACCAAAAGTGTTTAACAATTTTTTCATTAGCTCGATATGAGCTGAACCAAGTGAACCCATTGAGAGATAAATTAATTTTCCTGATCTATTGGTGAGCGATTCTGGTAAAACAAACGTTGAATTATCGGCTTCTCGTATTGAAAAGTCCATTCGAATCCAATTTTTAGGCGGTGGACCAAGATCAGTATAATCTAAAGCTTCGGGATAGATGTAAATTCCAAAATATTTGGCAAATGCTCGGAAAGCGAACATGTTTGGAGCCTCGAGGCCAAAAGAATGGAACCAATCGTCAAATTGTGTTATTATTTGCTGGTGGAGAGCAAGTTCTTTATCATGATATTGTTTCCATAGACTTTTGTCACTATGAACTGAGAATCCAGTTCCAGCAGGTAAACCGTACTCATAGAAGATGCTGACTGGATTAGCGGAGAAAAGAGGAATACACGGAATTGGACTTTGAACGAAAAGCGGGATTGAAAAGATTATATCACCAATTAGAATGTCGGGTTTAAGGTTATCGATAATCTTTCTCAATGTTTTATCCAATAACTTGAGCTCATCTATTAGAGTTGTTATCATACCATTGTCGGCTTCTGACCAAGTATCCAATCTCTCCATTGGGGTCAATTCCATTTTCGACATAAATTGTACAATGAAGCCCAAGAAAACTTCCGAATTGGCCTCGGTAAAAGAATCATCGAAATCTTCAAGTGCGATAAACTTAATACCGCGTTTCTCGACTGTCTGTTGGTGTTTTCGCCGATTAGTAAAGTAAACATCATTTCCACGCTTAAGAAGAGCCTCACCGAAACCAAGAGCCGAATTCAAGTGACCGATTCTAGACAAAAAAATCGATCAAAATGATCCAAGATGAACTAATTAATTCGACCATTCATTTCATCGGTAATTTACAATTAAGAGAAAACAATTAACCATTATACTTACGCATCAACCGAAGTTAACAAAATTTTCACTGGACCATCAACCATTTTCACCAACAATTGTTTCAATTACTATTATATTAGCTCAAGACAGTAATTAACTTTCTCTGGTTAACCTTAATTACAAATCTTTGTTAATTGTAAATCTTCATTAAGGAAAATGTATCCACTTTGATATTGTCACACCTATTTTTCAATTGATTATAATCAATCCCCCATCCAAAGGTGATAATCGTGGTGACAATTAAAACAATAGGCACTTGAAACAATAATTCAATCTGATCAAAATAAACCATTAGATTGAATTAATCAAGAAAAGGATAAATTTTCCTGTATTAAATTAATCTTGATTCAAAGAAACATTGATTAAACTGTTTCTAATCTGATTTGGTCTAAGTACAAATCAATAATCAAAGTTAATTGCTGATTATTCAACAATCAATATGTTCAATATTTTTGAATCAATTATTTTCCTGACAATTGATTAACTTTAATATTTGTTGATTTAGCTAATTGATCAAAGTGATTTTATCAACTTGAGTGTAATTTATTTTAAGCCAAGGTAAAAACTATTTTCAATCAAAGTAATTTGAGTACATCAAGAGTCAAATCAATAATAATCGTCCTTTAATTGTACAATTTAATCTTAAATTTTGAGAGAAATTAAAAGCATTTTGATTAAGAAACGAATTAAGAAAAGCAAATTAAAAAAAAAGTAAATTAAACGGGACTAATTCCAGTTCGAGCTACTTGTTCAATCATCTCTGCGACTTTGTGATGATTTTGTGTCGATTTTAATTTTCTCGAAAATTTTTTAATTCTTGCGTGTAAATCAACGTCTTGAAGTAAATTGTCAACTTTGACCTGAATTTCCGCCTCGTCGTAAACAAATGGATTAACCCGAACACCAAGATTCAAGTCCACAAACCTTTGAGCGTTGTCCAGTTGATTGAAAAATAGCGGCATTAACATCATCGGCTTACCAAAGTACAAACCCTCATAGATCATTTCATTGTGACCATGAGAGATAATCAGATCGACAGCCGACATAACAGCAACTTCGTCAAGATCATTTTTACCCCACATATTATCAGGTAAGGTCAATTGGCTTCCATATGGACCTTTGTAAACGATGAAACGATGTTTACTTTTACCGAAAGTGTTGATTAAACGATTCATTATAGCGACATGAACTCTGGTCGCAGTACCGATACACAGGTAGATCAAAGCACCGGGTTTTTTGGCCAATTTTTCGGGCATTCGGAATCGACGTCCACTAGATTTTCGCATAATTGGATCAAGTCGAACCCAATTAGTTGGAGTCGGACCAAGGTCAGTGTAATCTAAGACCTCTGGATAAATGTAAATACCAAAGTGTTTAGCAAAAGTGCGATGTAAATTCATATCGGTCACTTGAAATCCAAAATTCGAATACCATTCGTTAAAATGACCGCAAATACGTTCGTTGATCACTTTCTCTTTTTCTCGATATTTTTCCCATAAACTTCTGTCCCCATGGACTGAAAATCCAGTTCCCGATAGAAGTCCATACTTGACGTAAAGTCCAAGCGGGTTCACTGAATAAACTGGAATACAGGGAATTCTGTCTTCCATAAAAAAGGCCGGAGGATAAATTGTGTCACCAATAATAAGATCAGGCTTCAAATCGACGGCCAATGATCGCAACAGTCTATCGATTACAACGAGCTCTCTTAAAAGAGCGACCAAAATTTGAGTATCTTCACCTGACCAACTATTTAACCTTTCCAATGGCGGCATATTGACCTTGGTCATTGATCGGGTCATACAAGGGATAACCACATCGCCGATTAACTCGCCATAATTTGGATCGATTTCTTCAAAAGCGATAAATTTAAGTCCAATAGCTTCCGCTGCGAACTGATGTTTCCGTCTATTAGTAACATAAACATCGTTCCCACGACTATGTAAAATTGTGGCGATATTAAGAATCGATCCAACATAATCAGTTCTTGAAAGAGAAGAAAAAAATTAACAATTAACCATAAATGATTAGTGAATATTGGAAAATGAAACAATTAACTTACCCATCAAGTGAAATGAGTAAAATCTTTGGCGGTGCTCGAGCCATTTTGTCAACAATTAACAATCGCACTTAATTGTCACCACGTTAAAAATTGTCCCTCTCCACTGATTGTTGATTAAATATTAACCCTTTCATCTTGGAAACCGTTGATTTTGTTTTAATTGTTGATCAAAAATAATCATAACCATCATCTTACTGATTAACCTTTTTATCCAATCATTTAACTCAAAAAACTTACAATTAGTTAACCAATTTGATTACTGACATAATGTTGATCATTACAATTCACCTTCATTGGTAAGATAATTTGATCAGAATTGATTAGGAAAAAAATTAATCTTAGCTAAAAGATTAATGTGATTATCTTGACAATCAATTATCTAATTAGCCAATTTAAATTGCAATTCCAACAGCTAATCAAATTGCTTCCAGTTTAACTAATCAACAATTTTCATCCCAATCAATCGGAAAATAGAGTTTAAATTTTTCATTGATTAAATTTGATTTAATTATTAATAGTTTTTCATTTTTGTGACATTAACCTGTCAATTAAGTTAATCAATTGGATCAACTTTTTGATTACATTTTAATTAAAATTTGTTAACTTGTTTACCTTTTTTTAAACTTGAATTGAAAGTTGAAAAGTTTGTGACAATCATCAAAAAATTTGATCATCATGAATGTAATTAAATTATTATGATCAACAATCAAGTTTTGGAAAATGATTAAAGTGAAATTGGTAAACAAAAGCAATTAAGTCAACAATCAAGAATGACAAATATTAAAGTTAAAGTTTTTTTATTAGCCACAATTAAATTATCATTACATTGATTGGAAAACCAAATTAAGTATAAAAGTGGACATTAACTGACCTCTAATGATTGACAAGATCACAAATATAACTTTTATCATCTAATTTATCAACTTTTTGATTATAAATTCCGGTAATTTGCTGATGATAAGGTAAGATAATTGAATGATGTTTAATGATTGACGGCCAATCACAAGTTCCAGTGTAAAGAAAGTTTGACCAGAGGTCAATCATGTACGATGAAACCGCTCGATCGGTATCGGAATAATGTGAACAGTATCGATATGGATAAGCAAATATTAGCGACACATCTTCCGTGTGATAAGCACCAAGTAATTGAGCGAGATCAAGGTCACCAAGATGATTGGACTTGTAGGTATAAGAGTAAAGGTAAACCCGATTGTATTTGGACCATGAATAGGCCAGATTAAGATTTGGACAATGCCAACATAAATCATTGAATAAGGAGAAAACCGATTCAGCGATTGACCTTAGGTCACCCGATTTAGCGGTATGGAAATAATATTCAAGGATTCTTTCAACGTTATCGGTTGAATTGTTTCTCAAAACGGCATTTATCTGGTTTCTCATTGAATCTTTGGTATAAGTTACATTCCAGGTCACTTTGGTTATTCCTCGAGCCGATTCAACTGGAACTCTACCTAAGAGGATTGAAATATCTTTACGAAAATTACCTTTAGCCAACATGGAATCAGGAGATTCAGGGAACATGATATCACCATAATGAGGAAGGAAAATTTCAATTGAACACATTTCCTTCCAGAAGAAAATTTCCTTAATCACATCAGGTTGAAATTCAACTAAATCGAATGCATCTTTAGCTAATAGACAATCAATCTCATCTTGAGTTAACTGGTCATTCTCACCATTTGGACCATACGAACGAGTGGTCAAGTTATCAACCTTATTGGAATAAGTTGAATCTCTACAACCAACAGTTTGAAGAAATTTTCTCGTCTTTACCAATGCTTCAGAACGGGAATCAGTTGCTGACCTTTGAATGGCCGCACCAGATAAAATGATTGCATTTTTAAACAAATACCTTGATTGGGTTGAGAAAAGGTGAAGAGCGGCAAAAGTTGCACCCGATGAATGGCCAGAAAGTGTACTTGACCAGGATCACCACCGAAAGCGGCAATATTTTGCCTAACCCAAATAAGTGCCGCTCTCTGATCATACAAAGCCTGATTACCTGGAATCAATTGATCATGTCCATACATTAAACCAAACAAACCAAGTCGATAATTGAAAGTGACCACCACCGTATTGGCCATTGATGATAAATGTCCACCATAAAAAAGTGGATCAGCTGAAGAAAGGTAAACAAATGCACTCCCATGAATATGAACTGATACAGGTAAAGATGATGGTCCATTCAAACTGACCAATGGTGTGTAAACATTGATATATAAACAATCCTCGGAAATTGGAACCTGAGATAAATTCCAGATTAATGAAATTTTCTGCATACAGGCAGCACTAAATTCAAATGCCTCATAAATTGTTTCATTTTCTTGACCATTACTAGAATTAGATGGATAATAAACATTTCCATTGGAATTGAATTGTTTACTGACCAGTGGTCGAGGTTTTCTAAATCGTAATTTACCAATAGGAGGTTGAGCATAGGGTATACCAAGAAAATGGGCAATTTTGTGTCCCTTTAATTTACGAACGAAACCTTTTATTCTTGACCATTTAGTGGACACTATTGGCTCTTCATCTTCCCAAATATTATCATCATCGTTTTCATCATTCTCATCCTCATCCTCATCCTCATCCTCATAATCATCATCATCATCATTACACTGATAATAATTAAAATGATTTCCATCATGATCACTTTCAATTGATTTATTATTCCAATTGTTATTATTATTGTTGATGGTCAATTGGTCAGTTGAATCTTTTTCATCATCATGGTCACTATTACAATCAACATTGTTAATCTTTATGGTCACAATTAAAAAGATTACAACAATTAAGGTTAACAATAAAATGGGTAAACAGTTAACTCTCATCATTATTTTTTCCTTCTCGTTTCTTTGCCAGTTAATTAAGTTAATTGTTACTTTTAAATTGTTACTGTAAACAATTGTTACTATTGTTATTATCAGATTACCTTTTGATCACTTTAATTAAAAGTTAATTGTTTATTGTTGAATGTGTGGTTACAATTAAAATGGTTAATTTTCAATCTCTCAACAGTTGCCGTTATTAACTATACATATGATTAACTTTCCATCATCTTAATTAATTAATTCTAGGTAACAATTAAAACGCCCTGTGGAAAACCTCAAGTGGATTTTGCTTTGTTAATTACAATTACTAAAGTTAAACCTGTTAATTTTAGTCACTAATTAATTAATTAATTCAATTTGATATTCATCAATAATTAAAATCCATCAAAGTTAACATCTTGTTGGGGCTTAATTTTTTGTTGTTGTTGTTGTTGTTTAGTTAATCATCACAATTAATCATCGTTATTAACATGTTAATTAAATTGTTTAACCTCTATACTATTTTTAATTGATAATATAAGTTAATCAATGTCAAGAAATGTTAATTGTTAGCTAATTAATACAAATGTAAAAATCATCATCAAATTAAATCAAATTCAACAAAATTCAAGGTTATAATTAATTGTACTAATTATTATTAACCAGATCAATGATCAATTTTAATTTTCAATAATAATAATACTAAAAACAATTAATGGGAAGACAATTAAAAACTTTGATGATTTAAAAAATCAATAATATTACAAAATAATGAGAAAAGTTTACAACAAATTTGATTAAATTTAAATTTGTATGTTAATTTAAATCAATATGATCAATGGTTAATTGTTGATTAAACATTATCATTGAATAAAATATCTTCCTGAGATGATTGTAATTGATCAGGTTGATTGTTAATTGTTTGTTTAATTGTTGTTGATTTGGTTAACAAACGAGAACTGAAAATGTTGATAAACCAAGCACCTAATGGAGCTGAAATAATGGTTGAAAGGATAGCATAATTAAGGGTAATTTCACCGTAATTAACTAATTGTTGATCAAATCGAGATCGAGCCAATTCAAGGGGAATTGAACCAACTGCTGCTTGAACGGTTCCCTTAGATAGCCAAGCCATGGAGATGAAAACTTTTTCCCTGCGGGTTAAACCAGCTCCAGAAACGGCGGTGAAAGTTGTTAATGTCCGAGCAATAAGACCAATGATAAGGCAACAAAGTGACCAAAGGAGAGTTGAAGGGTCAATAGTTTCAAATGAAACCTCATAACCAATAAGGGCAAATAGTAAAAATTCACAAAAAAACCAAATATCTTTCAGGGTGATAACAATAAGGTCAAGATAACCCTCTTTCCGCCACCTAAGTCCAGCTACAAAAGCAACTGAAAGTGTACCCAATGGACCCATTGATTCAATGGTCAAAGTTTTGGTCAGAAAGATGAAACCAATTCCAGTGAAAAGTAATAAACAAAGTCTCATCTTGGTTTCATTTGAATGACCATTAAATGAAGGAAGATGATGATCAAGAGAAGATAGTGAATTAAGTCTTGGGGTTGGTTGATTAAGATGAGCTACCGATTGATCAGTTAAAGTTTTATTGGGAGGTAGAAACCAGAAAAGTAAACCCAAAGATGTACCCAAAATTAGACCAGAAAAAGCTTCTAATGGACCTTGAAGAGTTGAAGCATAAGAGGTTGAAGGTGAGGTGGACATTGCAAGTCCAAGGAACACTTCAAATCCAGTGATTGCCAGAACATCGTCAAGTGATGATCCACCGATGGCCAAGGTGGGTATTCCCTTATCGATACCGTAACCTTGCTGTTGAAGGTTAATCATTGAAGGTACAATGATCGCCGGTGAAGTGGCCACACAAACAAAACCTAAAACCATACACCAGAAAAAGGGTACACCAATTATATAGTAAGTTGTTATCGCAAGGACAAAAGCCTCAATTATACAGGGGAACACGGCAAGACGAAGGCAAAGCCATGATAGTTTACGTAATCGTGATGGATTAAGAGATAATCCTGCTCGAAGTAGGATTATCCCGAGAGCCAGATCTCGGATAAACGAGGAAATCGATTTATCTATTTTAATCAATGAATTTGAAGTTACAGATGGAGATGATGATGATGATGATGACCGGAAGTAGGAAATGTTGGCCAATGCAATTCCTGCGAAAAGCATTCCAATAATGGATGGAAGTCCAAACAATTTACTAATTGTTCCAGTTAAATAAGAGGCTGTAAAGAGTAAGATGAATGCAAAAATTGATTCATTCCAGGGTGTGGATGGATTAACACCGTAACAGCAAATCCAAAAGGTTAATCCAATCATACACTTGGTGGTCAAATGTTGTGTCGAGTTGATTACTGATGAACAGGTTATCATAATGTTAAACAGGAAACGGAAACGATGAGGGAAAAATGTTTGTTTGTAATGAAGGAGAAGTGAAAAACAATTATAACCCAAAAAAGTAAACAATTTATCTGAATGATGATTAGTTGAAATCGATACCAACAATTAATTCATTCAGTTATTCATTGGAAATAAAATGAAAATAATAAGTAAATTGTTAACAATTAAAATTAATATGATTTCATTAGAACAGGAAAATTGTAATTGGTAAACTGAATTAACTTGATTTGGTTGTTATTTTTTTTGTGCTCTCAAATTTAATCAATAACGGAATTAAATTGTTAAAGGTTAATAATAAGATACAATTAAGGGATAGTTTATTAATCTAATGATTAAAGTTAATCAGACTCTTTGATTAGCCTTTAATATTGATTGTTTATCCTGTTAATCTTTGAAATATACAATTCAATTTACTAAATTAAGACAATCAAATTTAATGATTGGAGAAAACAATCTCTCAACTTATTGATTAACAGATTAACAATTACCAATCTAATGATTATTATTAAAGTTAATTGTCATCCATCAACATTTATGATGACCATTAAAACTAATCAGTTAATCATAACAATCAAAGATTGATAACAATAATTGAAAATCAATTAATCAACTAATATGAAAAAAATTTTGATCACGATTATAATAATTACCTTTACAATTATCATTATTATTATTAAATTTAGTTGATTGTTTGATTGTGAAATTTATTTCCGATGATTTAATTATTACATACAGACACAGTTAATTGGGATAACAATTAGGTTTAATTGTCCAGTAAACAATACAATTAAGGTTAACAACATAACAAGAGCATCTTTTAGATGTAATAAAAAGTTATAACATTGATACAAAGTAATGTCCAGAGTTCTGGTCAATTAATGTTGACGATTTTTTTTTCATCTTCATCTTGTTTTTATACTTTGAAAAAAAAAACCTCACTGGACATTAAACTGGACACAGGAAACAACCTTAAGTTTATTAACATTATCAACGGTAAATAATTTGAGTAAACAAGAAATGACCATCATCATTATTAGAGCTATCATCATGTAATATTATCACTGGACAGTGGTCAGTTTACAATACAACATCGTAAAGATTATTTAATAATATAAACAAATAAGGAAAACAAAGAAACATAAAAACACAAATAAAACAAATTTAATTCAATGATAATTAATCATCACCAATTAATTGATTATATCTGGTCATCTAATAATAATAACATTCTGACCAATGGTCAACCTTTCAAATCATAATAATAATAATAATGATATTAATATTAAAAGTTCATTAATCAAGTGAATATAATATTTAATGTTTGATGATAAAAACAATTTTCTTAATTGTTAATATTGATATATGTAACCAATTTAAAACTGATAATGAGCTTAATTGTTAATCCAGTGTTTGTGGTTAATAATTATAACGGTTAATTTTAATATAATACAATCAGCTAATCATATAACTAAAATTTACATGGGAATTGTTGATGTATGTTAATTGTTGATAAAAAATATTTGCTATGTTAACTTGTTATTAACTAAATTAATGATATTTAATAACAGTCAATTAAACTTAAGTCTCTTAATCATAATGATAATCAACTGTTCAACCGGTCATTCGTGGTTGGTTAACAATTACCTATTTTTTTAATTACAACACAATCATAATGAATGATCAGTATAAATGGTTGACAATTAACAAGAGAGAGAGAAAAAATTAAACTTTTATCGTAAATTGTAATAACCCTAATATACCTTTGAATATACACAACGAAGATGATGATAACTTTTAATTTCATGGAACTTTTTTCATGATTATCATCCTCATCATCTTCATCATCATCATCATCATCAAAATTATCATCATCTAACCTCATTAATCTAATATTATCAGTGATGATTATTTTCCACTTTCCTTTGGTGTTGCTTTTGTCTCATTGGAAACTTTTGATTGTAAGTTTTTTTCTCTCTCTCATGTTGTTGATAAATTAATGATATAAATTATCACAATTAACTGATCATCAGGATAGTTGGGTGTGTATTGTATATCTTTTTATACAAATATTTCCAAGCTCTCTCTCTTTGTACAGTATATCATAAACTCGGACCCGGAAGTTGAGTGGAAAAAAAAGAATCACTACTTCTTGAAACCGGAAGTTTTTTCCATTGAAACAAAACCAAAAATTGTAGACACAAGGATATGGATGCTAAAAGGATGAGGATGGAGATGAAAAGTTTAACATTGATATTGTATTTAACACACAGACATACACACACTTTATCATTTGGAGGAAGGGAAAATGAGTTGGATGACTGATGATGATGATAGGTTTTCACTTCGAAGAGACAAAAATAGCAAAGATGAAGAAGAGAGAGAGAGAGATTTCAACCCTCTCCCTCTCTTCCTAATGATTACCCAAGCTCACCCACTGCCATTAAATATATTACTTATATCATTTACCATCAAGTTAACCTAGAAAAAAAAGTGTAACCAAAATCTTGTGTTAATTAATTTTAATTTCAACTTTTATCATTATCATGGTGATAATTTGATGAAATGTAAAACCTTTGAGTAAATAATTTGAATCTGATTGAACTCCCATAACCATCACCTCAATGTAACCATCAAGTGTTAACATGATACTTTACAAGACACACAATCACACCTCAGAGGAACAATCAACCTTCACCCACACCAGCAACCCAACAACAGAACCAACCCTTAGTCCACCCAATAGACCAACAAATACAATATATTTATATATATATCGAGAGATGATATTGTTGCAAAGGTTTGCAGAAAAAAAATTAGAGTATAAACTGAAAATGGTAAAAATTGCTTACTTAAATTTTTCCACCTTCTCTTTTTTTATCTTCCATCTTCCTTTTCCTTTTCCTCCTTCTCCTTCTCTTTCATCATCATTATCTTCATCTTTCTCCTTTCTCACCATCATGATGATGATCATTATCATCTTGTTAAGGTCAGTTTTCCACTTGCCTTACCTTAAACATCATTTACCCACCACCTTCACTCCTATTCTTACCTCTCCACCTTCACCTCTTTCTCCTCCTCCATCTCATCTTCATCCTAAGCAAAAACCTTTTCCTTTCACTTATCATCTTCCATCATCATCTCAACCTCCTCTTCCTAATCATCATTCTGAAGGGATTAGAGTAACCAGAATATGTTCATTTTTCACCGAGAGAAAAATAGACAGAGAAAGAAGAGAGAGAGAGAGAGACTGTGAGAGGAGAGGGTGGAAAGAGGCGGAGGAAAAGATAACATTGGGATAATTGATGGGCGAAGACCCTATGAATCAAAAAGATAGGGAATCACTTTCATCCAGGGTGGAAAAGGTGAACACACATACATTATTAGGAATAAAAGTCATCATCATGTAAGAGAATGAGAAAGTGAGTGAGAGAAAGAGAGTCAAAAGTTATATATTTATAAAGGTCGTTAGCTTCAGGTTCCTTTCTCATTCTGTTTACATTTGACTCCACCTAATATTGATGATAATCATGATAATCATCATCATCATCTTCATCACTATCTATATCCATATTTACTCATCATCATCTTTCTCAGCAAAAAAAAAGTTCCAAGTAACCAAACGATCATCAATAAAAAACACACACACATGATATCACAAAGGTTTGAATTCAGATTCAGCGCAACATGAAATCAACATGAATCTCAACATGAGACTGAACAATTATTTATTATACTTTGTATCATCATCATCATCATCTTCATCTTCATCCTCATCATCACCAATATCATCACCATAGTGAAAATATACTAACAGAAAGAGAACAGAAAAATCAAGAGAGAGAGAGAGAGAGAAAAAATGATTTCTTTTTTCCTTCCAATAATATTACAAATGATTCTGATACATTTCATCTTCTACTCTCACATCATGGTAACTTTCATGATGATGATGAGATTATCACCAGAATCACCTTTTTTTTCATCATCTCTTTTTAATAGACTTGATTGTTACTCCTTATTATTTATCGACACAAACAATGAACATTGAGATTCCAATAGAAACCTAAAAATGCCTCCAAGTGATTTAAGTTAATCATGATGATTATTATTCTTGACAATGAATAACTATTGATATTTCATTGCTAATAATGAACTTGAGTAATCATTATCATCATGGTGCAGAAAAAAAACTCACTGAACACTAATAACTTTTCATGAGTTATATAATACTTTCATTCATTTTGTTGATGATCATCATGAAACCCTAAACAAAGTAATAAGTTAACTTTGTTATGACAATATAATAATATTTTCCCACCTTTTCCTCCCTCATCGATTCCCACCATCTACATGATGACCACCACCACCATCACCACCTCAGTCATCATGAAAATAATCAGCAGTTTCCCTCCCAGCTAATGTATATTAATGTTACATAGATTAGATTCTCAATTCCTATGGTGTGAAAAAAAAGTAATAACAATTGAATGAAGGATAAACAAGAGACTCGTTCAAACAATTATCGTCAATACTTATTCATTGTATCAGAATTTTCTCTCTCTCTCTCTCTCTCTCTCTCTACCCTGTGATTCTCAGTATTGGAAATTTATGTAATATTTTTATCACCATTAAGAAGGAAATTGATTGAAACTTTTTTTTTATTTCTATTTGTTTTCAATGTCCAGTTATTAATAACTTTTTCCTTTATTCTCTTAGGTCAAACATCCTCAGGTAATTGCTGTTGAAAGTGACCCCTAAATCAATGGACAGGGAAAAATTTCTCGATAATATCAACGGTCAAACAATGAAAAGAAATGTCAATAAATCAATGAAAAATTCCCAGTCAATTATTTTCATTTTGTTTTCTTCTTATTCTCTCTCTCTCTCTCTGACTGACCATTATAAATATTATGCAGTTTTCTATGTGTGTAATATATTGACCATTGCATTTGACCAGAATATTTTTACATATTTTT